ATGTACAGTGTTGGTTTGGATGCACACAACCAAATGCACACAGAATGCACACAGAAACCAGAAAAGGTTGTCAGTGTTCTTGTCTATCACTCTTTTTATTATTAGCTGGAGACAGGGTCTGTCACTGAACCTGGACCTAAGCTGGTGGCCAGCAAGCCCTCATGTGTCCACCCTGTATGGCACTGGGGTTATAGGCACACATGACCACTCCCAGTGTTTTGTGGATACTAGTGATTTGAATGAGGGCTTCAAAGCAGCAGATTATTTTATTTATTAACCCAGTCACCCAGTCATCCTTTTCTTTTTCACCCATACATCTCTTTCCTCTTTTCTTCCTATCTTTCTTCACTTTCTTCTCTATTTTCTTCTATGCTTTAGTGTTTTTTAAAATATATTTCTAAGTTACATATAAAGTTTAAAGTGAGTTTTATAAGACTTAAGGAAAAGATCACTTCAGAATATCGCCACTCCTTTTCTCTGAAGCGATGTTTTTCATTTGGTATTTATTCCCCCAGCTCAATGCAGCATGCTTTCATTGTTTCACTGATCTTTCAGTTCTGTGTATTGATTTCTGACTACGAAGGAGGAGGCTATAGCTTCTAGCCTTATCTCTTCTCTGCCCCATATAATTCTTTGTCATTTTTTATAATTATATCACAGCAGAGGTTCTGTTAGAGCTTAGTGTTTGTACCATCCTTATTATGCTGTAAATGAAGTGAGATAGAATTATTTCTTTCTTCCAAAACATGTTTTATTTTATGGTATGGACTTAATTTTTGTTTGCTTAGCTTTCTAGGTACACATTATTGTCCAGATACACAAGGTAGCCAGTTGTCCATGCCTCATCAACCAATTCATCTTGAATAATCTCCTCTGATTCATTAGATCGCCATCATCCTGGGCTGCATTACTTTTCTGCCTGGGATGCAACTGCTGTCTGGGCATGCTTGGCTCTCTTCAACTGGAGATTTCTTTGTACTGTTTCCTCAGCTGAGTCCCTTGTCCCTTTACGATTTCATGCATTTTTTGAAAAATTCCTTATTTGCCCAGGTGGTGGAGAATGTCTTTGATCCTAGCACTTGAGAGGCAGAAGCAGGCAGATTCCTGTGAGATCAAGTCAACCTGGTCTCCATAGCCAGTTCCAGGACGGCTGTGGCTACAGGGATACCCTGGCTAAAAACAAACAAACAAACAAAGAAACAAACCAAAAAAAAAATTCCTTCTTCGTTTAAGATTATTCAAAGCTTTCTGAAAAGTATTTGTGGAAAATAAAATTCTTGAGAACTTGCAGGTCTAAAAATGTCACTGTCTCATCTATAGAAGTGGAGAAATAATTCTAAATGCAGATAACTTTTCTGTGAATGGTTTTCTAGCTTCTAATATAGGTTTTGAGAAATCTGAAATGCTTTCGTAGACCTTTGTACATGATCCATAGTACTTATTCTATGAATAAGTACTAATAATTTTTGTTTATTCTCTATGAAATTTTAAGATGTTATTTCTTAGAATGAATCCCTTTTCATGTGTTATGTTACATATTAGAAAGAGTCTTTTATTAATGCATTTTTTGACCGGGTTCCCTAGTCCCTGTTAGCCTGGAAGTCAGTATGTAGACTAGGCTGGCCTCAGTCTCACAGAGATCTGCCTGCCTCTGCCGTCTGAGGGCTGGGATTAAAAGTGGGTGCCACCACACCTGGCAGAAAGGGTTTTTTACTATGACAGAAATCTAAAATTCTTTTGTTGATCATTTTTCTGTTTTCTGTTTTCTTAAGTTCTTCTTAAGGAACTTCCTGTTGTCTGTGATCCCCTGTTTCCTGTGTTTTAAGTTCCTTTCAGTGGGAAGAATGAGCTATTTTTGTAATTATCTGTCCTCAATCCCAATTTTTGTTTTCTCTTTTATTTCATCCAATTTTCTGAGATACAGCATTTTCATTTTCATGATTTCCATGTTTCAGGTTTTGTTCTTATTCCCTGGACATTTCTTTTCCATGGCATCTGAGTCTTACTTTACTTACAAAATATATTTCATATCACCAGTCATTTATAGATATTAGCAGTAGTTGTCACTTTTACTTTTTAAATTTTTCTTCTCTTCAGTAGTGCCCCAATTTTAACAAATATTATTTTCCCGTTTGTTTTGGGTTCTGTCTTCCATGTTAGATGCATCTCTTGGCTACCTGGAGTTCTTAGTTGTCTGCTGGTATTTCACTGGGGAGGGGGGCGTCAGTTGGGAACTGTTTGGTGCCTTTTGATTGTAAGCTTTGCTGCAGGGGTTTCTCCAGCTTGTTTATGGAGCAGGACTCCTAATATCAGTACTTTTTTCTCTTTTTGTTTGTGTTAGATTTTGTAGAGACAATTCATCCCCTTTTGTCTGAAGGGCAATGCCCTGGCTGACAGCATTCTAGGTACCATAGACCCATTGGTATGATAGTGGCACTGTTTTAAGAGCAACAAACAGCTTTCTGATTGGATTTGAAGTCTGCTTCACAGGAGGGGATACATATCTGGTATTTTAAACATGGTCAAAAACCTATGGCTAGTTAGGCCACAAGTGTGTGGCGGGAGAGGGAAATTTGTTAATTATGTCATGGTAAATAACATAGCTACAGTTAATGTAGAAACAACTAATAAAAGTGCTGAGAATAAATGACTGCTAGATACTCAGCCCTAAATATACACCCATTTCAAATCCTCTAAGAGCCAGAGAACATTGTGGAAGAGAGGGCAGAAGGATTTGTAAGCATTGGTGGGTGAGAAGTGCTGAGGAATGCTGTCTGCTGAGTATGACATGGGTATTATAATTGTGAGCAAACAGCAGCTGTGACGACCTGCGCAAGATCTGCTCACATACCTAGAGGACATGAAACCAGGAGAGGGATTAGTTAGGAAGAAGAAAGAGCTTAGCAGGAGATTTGAGAGAGCAATGGGAGACAAACAGGATCACAACACATTGGAAACATACTTGGAATTATAAAAGCTTAAAACAATGTGCTGAGGTACTCCATAGCCAATAGATAATCATTTGTTTATTCTTTCTGTTTCTAGTATATTCCTTTACCTTGAACTCTGCCTGGTGCCCATCAACGCAGAGATCTGCGATTTCAGCTTCTTTTAAAATGTCCAACATGTCATTAGAGGGCTGTAGAGCAGCAGTGAGGACCAAGGAATGACATGGTGGGGCCTCCTTTTTCAACTGTATCTTTTCTCTATGTCCCCATGCTTTTCTACTTTTTCTACCCTTTCCAGGGATCACTATAGGTTTAAATAGCCCAACTTCTTAAGAATTCTGCAAGTTGATTCTTGGATTTACCAACTACAATTTATTTCCAAAATAGTCTTTATCTTAGAATCATTTTTTCTGTCTTCCTTTCCCCTTCTTTAATTCTCTGTGTCTACTGAAAATATAGATCATGATATTGTTATTAACATATCATGCAGTTAATTTTAGTAAAGTTCACCTAAACTGTAAACAGCCCTAGTAACTTCTTTAGTGTAGAAAACTTTAATAGTTTAGTGCATTTTGAAAAATAAAAGGTTCAGAGCAACTCACGACAGCATAAAAGGACACTGTAACTTTGAAAAGTTATGTGAAATGTTTGCAAACAATGATCAAACACATCTCTTGAATAGGAATAATAATTGCCTATACACAGGAGAAAGTTTTCTTTGTTCTTTCAATGGCATAGAAGTTGAAGAAAATATTTCATTTGACATTTCCATTTTATAGAATGCATGAATAAAAATAAAGGTGATGCTCACATGATTTGTCTTATCTAAAGTGTGTGTGTGTCTGTGTGTTCCAAGATATTATGTTATCTAACAGTTCTTAAGCTTCAAAACTTTATTTTGAAGATCAAAAAATCTAAAAACTAAGGTGACAAAAGATACCCAAAGGAAGCTCAAGAATGTCATGCCTCAAGAACTATGTTCAGTTTTTGGAGAAAAGCGTAAGACAAATTTCTAAATTAGTGATTATTGCCAAAGCTGTGCCTATATATTGCAAAAGCAGAGATGGTTCATTGGCTGAAAGAAAACATGAGTAAGAGAGAGGAAATCACTATTAATATAAGATTTCTGTTTTTATGAAAAACTTCTCCCTTGTTATTGCAGAAAGATTGAAGGGACTGATACAAATAAATGCAGGAGGATTGACACAATTAATGCGCAGGACAAAGAAGGAAGATTTTCCAATACAGTGCTGCATGTCATTCGTGTACATTTTCATCCAGATGCATAAATGGATATGGTCACTGCCCATAAACCTGTCATCAAGTGTAGTGGACATTGGGAACATGGGACTCATTTTCTGTTGATTGGATTATGGAATGAAATGATTACAGGTATGACTTGGCCCCGATTTATATCTACCTCCAAATTATTTCATAAGTTCTAATATGTTTAAAATGACTTTTTTCCTGGTTTTACCCTTCTCTGACTTCTTACTTTTGGCCTGGACAAGGAGGATGATTTTTTGGGTTATTCTTGAGTGAACTAATGGTTATTTTGATGGTAACAAGTGATAGGTTGAAAGCAAGTTTTGCTAAGAGAAAATTTGAAAAAACCCAATAAGATTAGTTCTCAGAATCATATCTAATCATGTTAAGTAATATCTTAGAAAACTCATTCATCATTTTTATTGCTGTAAAATAGAAAAGCAGTTTGTTTCTTTTCTTAATGTATCACCAAAGAAAGCACTGATGTATGAATAAGCCTGCCCAGCACATTCACTGGGCTATGTTACTAGGAAGTAGAACACTGAAAGAGAAAACATGTATAGTCTTTTGTGGAATCAAGCTAAGCCTTGATTTCTTGGCACATTTTCCTTTGAATTATTTTTCCTCATAATCAGACATGTGGCATTCCCAGTGGTTTATGTGTCATATTGTGGGAGAAAATGAAAAAATTCCCAGACATTCAGCATTAAAGAAATGGACTGGTGTCTGCTCCATGCAACCAGGCTAGGAACAACCAGCTGCTATAAACTCAACCCTTTGGCTTCTGGGAATGAAAGGATCAGTAAGTCTTTATATCTAGAAACCATCCGGCCACACCAGAATGACAAAGAAAAACAAAACAAAGGCCATCCAGAGCGCCCTGAGATAACATACTAAGGTTTGTTATTAACAGCTGGAATTGTTAAGAATTTGCATTTGCTTGGTCTTACTCTCTTTACATATGCCTTTCTCCAGGATCTTTGGAGGGGAGAGAATGATGTAGAACAGGGCTCCAGATGAAAGAATTAATTTATCCTGGCAATGCATGTGGGAGCAATTGATTCAGGCAATGCTGATTTCTACATTACAATAGCAGTTGGGATGGTTATAGGAAGAGAAAATTACTAACCCCTCTGGTACTTTGGATTTGCTTAATTGTTTGTTCTTAAAAGATACCATAATAGTCAGCTGACCTCCTGAAGTTTTCAATCACTTTGAGGGCCTTATTTAGATTTAGGCTAAAGCAATTATAATTTTTTTCACTGTTTTCATTGCTCCAGATGAAAGTAAAGGCTGAATATGATTGTCATCCTGACTTTGAGGTTCAGTTTGTGCAGCTCAATAGCATGTCTCTTTCGTTCTCAAGAAAGTCATTACGAAACACCTTATAGTTTTGTAAGTACTCCTCATCTTTTCAAGAACATAATCCGTGTATATATAAATCTATCCCCAATTGCAATGCTATGTAAATGATCACACACACAATAAGCAAATAAACATAATAAAAAATTAAAGAAAGGAAATATGAAAATCCAGACCATTTGGGGCTGAGATGCTCTAAGGACCTCTGCCTGGGGTACAACTGTATGCTTCCTGATCACTATGTTTACTTTAGAGGACATGGATGTTATGGTTTTGGAACTACCCACCAGCAAATGGGACATTTGGATTTCAATGGAGCCAAGAAACAAAGTGAAATATGATAGAATGAAGCTCAAGCTTTCTTTGGCCAGTTTCTCTAGATGTTATCCTCAAAGCCTTCTAGTATAACTCTAAGGGAATATTTGCAAAACTACAAAGGATAAATTTCTTGACAAATTTGATTCTTTGTCATCAAGTGAAATTTAATTTGATTTTTAAAAGATTACTGAAAAATGAACTTTCTCTTACCAAAGCATCGTGGAAGTGATAGATGTTCACCAATTGGACACAAGCAGGTAGGTAATAGGAATGACTAAAGACAAGTAGAACATCAGCAAGTTTGTGAGGAAAACAGTAAGGGCCACGCAAGAGGAAAAATAAACAGAACTGATAATACACAAAACAGACTATTTCTTTAAATTTAATAATTATTTTTATTTTAGGTGTTTGACTGTATTGCCTGCATGTATGTAAGAGCACCTGTGTTGTGCATTGTTGGCACAGGTCAGAAGGGAACTTTGGATCCTCCTGGAAGTGGAGTTATGGATGGTTGTTAGCTGCCGTGTAGGTGCTGGGACTCAAACCCAGGTCCTCTGCAAGAGCAGCCAGTGCTCTGAGCCATCTCTCCAGGCCCCAGATCGACTATTTATAATAAAGAAGAATAGATTTTGATGGAGTCAAGAAACTTAAATTTTAAAAAATGTTTTCCTCACTACCTGTAAAGGAAAATAGGTCTCGCTCTGCCTTTCTCTTATTTAAAAGCTTTAAAATAATATACTATGTTCTGTTTTATAATGCTCATGTTCAAATTCCAAACAGTATAAAAAGCCAGAAGTAAGGGGCTGGAGAGATAACTCAGTGGTTAAGGGCAGCCACTACTCTTGCAGAGGACTGGTGTTTGATTCCTAGCTCCCGCATGGTGGCTAGCAATGGTTGGTAACTCTACTGTCAGAGGATCTGATGCACTTTTCTGACCTCTGCGGGCATTGCAGGACATGGGTGCACTTACCTACATGCAGGCAATTCATGCATATACATGAAATTTTAAAAATATACTTAAAAAGTTACAAGTAGATATTACCAGTTATGGGCAGGGGATGGTAGCAGAGAGCAATTTTTACATTTAAAGTCTGACCTATATTCGGCTCCAGATTCAGACACTTTTAAAAACTATTTGTGATGTATAAACTCTGTTTCTATGACTACATATTTTTGAAGACTTATTTATTAATTTAAGAAGAACCAAATGCAAGTCTCAGTGGCATTGTGGTTATATCAAACTTCTACTAATGGATGTTACTTAAGCAAGTGTCTTACCTTGTAAAACCAAGATTATTTTAGATCCCTATCACTGATGAAAAGATCTAAAAAATTCCATTCGAACAGGTAAGAGTTCTTATACATTTTTTTTGCCAGTACTGTTCAAAGGATTCATAACCATCACCATAATATAAGAATTGTAAAGTAAAATTATAGCATTTGCATTTTGGTCATATATCAATAAACTAAATGAGCTTAATTTGTACAGTTGAGGGGGAGAGGGTAGTAAAGAAAACCTATGGTAAACAAGTGAGCTCAGGAACAACCCAAAACCACGATCTCATTTTGGAAGATAAGGTTAGATCCTGATCGTAGTGTATTACCTCTGCCTTGTTTCTGTTTTCAGGAAAACACTGAGAAGAGACCTTTAGAGCACAGAGGTAGAAATGCAATTTTGAAAACAGCAGAAGAGGTTACTTTTAATGAAAGCAAAACAGTAAAAGGCGTGCAATGTAAAAAAGAGCACGACCACATTTCACCTTCTCTAATGACAGAGAAAAAAATTTCCTTGCTGTAATCTTTAAGAACAAAAATATTATCTGGCTTACTAGCAGTGTGTGCTTGGAGACTATGTATTGCATAGGTTGACACAGTGTCAGCTGATGTGTTAATATCCCACTACACTCCACATGCCCTGTGGCTGAAAAGCATCTTAACAGGGTGATGAAGCCTCTTCTGGGGCCATTGCAGTGACATCACACTGTGGCGCCCATTAGAATGTGCCTAAGAAATGAACTAGTCATGTACACTTTGGAAAGCACATATTTCCTCTGGTATACAGTCCCCACCCCCCCTTTTTAGCGTTCTGCTCACAAGTGACCTCACCTTTTCGTTCAACCAAACCCATTAATCAAACATAGCCCAAAAGTGGCTGATGATCTCTCAGAATTGTTATAGTAGCAGAAAGTCAAGGACAGTACAAATTGATTCGCATCTTCTACCTTATGAGATTTACAACATTGGCAGTGCTTCCTTCATTTCTTAAGAATAGCAACCTATCTGGTTAGCACAAGTATGCTGCTGTTACAAACAGAAATATTTCATGGACCTGTCTGCAGGTTCAAAACATAAAAATACTTCTGTGTTTCCTACAAAGTAACATCTTGCAAATCTTTTCTGAGTGACTATAATCAAATTTCCTTGCTAATATTTGCAGATGTTTACACACACAAAGCACGTAATACAAGGTATTTATAACATTGTGAAAAATACTTATTTTTCATGTAAGACCTCAGTTTTAAAATTCATGACCATTTTCTGTATTAAATTTTTATATGAAACTTACTAGATGAAATGCAGGAAAAAGAACAGAAGTCTAAATTATTAGAATCAATTGCTGATTTGAACTGTTCTGTTGAACTATTGGTCTTATTCAGTGCCTAGCTGTAGAGTGAAGTGTTGGAAGGTAGCTGTTGAATAGATGCATAAAAAGGATTATGCTGGAATATAAAGAGACAGTTAATTGAAAGCCTCTGCAGTTTACATAACTCTACAGAAAGAGCGAGCGAGAGAGAGAGAGAGAGTGTGTGTGTGTGTGTGTGTGTCAGAGAGAGAGAGAGAGAGAGAGAGAGAGAGAGAGAGAGAGTTGATAATTCTTATAAGGAAATGGTTGTCTAGATTTCTTTTCAGTATGGTATGTTCATTTTGAATTCAAACCCAAGGAAAGGACAATAGCTGGGAGAAATATGTTCTTTGCAACTGTAACAAAATCCTTTATAGAAAGTCCTGTTTAAGTGAGAATAAATTCCGATAGACTCAGTACAGGGAGAAATGGGTTTCAGGCTTGGTCTCAGTTTTACAAATTACTGTGCAATACCCAGACGGAGGAATAATGATCCCAGGAGGAAGTTATTTCTGTTCATGTCTACATTATGTTGTTTTCAGCATAATGTTTAATATTCTAAAATATAATATCTCTAACCTCAAGATATAATTACAAACTTAAAAATATGTTTGTCAAAATATTAATCAAGACTTTTTCCTTTTTTCTACATTTCTGTGATCTTATTTAAATGTAAATTAGATCATGTCCTGTGCTTCCTTTTACAATTACCTTCCAAAGCTTTCTATGACACCTAGAAGAAAATCTGGATCTGATGCTTCGAGTATTTTCACATATACTTACTCAGCCCTGCAGGACCTGATCCTTTTTCTGGCAGGACCCCCTGGCTGTGCCTTCCACATGGCTGGTGCCTTCTCATTCCCCAACTCTCTATTTCATGAAGGCCTCCATTATCACTCTATGCCAGCCAAGCAGGACGCCTTCCTTTTAGGCATTATCGGTGTTTCTTAGTTCTTTTCTTTATAGACATTATCTTGCTTGGAAATTTTTCATTTTACTTATTTGCTACCTGTTAGACCACATTCTGTGTATCTGTTTTTTATCCCAGATAATAAGTCCTATTTGAGTGGCGATCTTACCTGTCTTTTGTATTGTGTCAATGCCTAGCACAGTGTCTGGTACATCAAGGATGATGAGTCTTTTGTTGAATATCATAGGAGCTATGTTCCAAGTAGCACTAGGCATGAGATTGAAGCATGTTCTATGAATGGAGGGGAAAGGAAGGGCAATGTTGGAGAATGGGAGGCATATAATGCAAGTAGGTCAGAGCTCTGAGCCCTTAGCAGTCTCTGTTCTTTTCATTTTACACCTTGGATTACCTTGCAGTAATCAAGCAAAACAAAATAGCGTGAAGCTTAAAAACACCTGAAAACCTCTTAAATAGGTTATGAATTCTCTTTTGCATTTAATTAGACCATAATAACAATCATTACTTTATTATAAGTCTATTCTTAACTAAGAAAAAAACTGAAAAAGCAATTTAGGAGAATGTTTATATCACAAGATTCCTTTACAATTGTGAAAGAGTGGGCTAAATAGCTACCAAATAGGAACAGCAAATCATCTCTCACAGGGCTGAAAGCGTGAGGTCATCCTTTCCCCAGTTTCCTTTGGAGGAAAGCATGGTCGTGTGATTTGGTTCCTCCACTATGACTCAGGAGTAGGATTGTGGGAGACTTCTAGAGAGCATATTTCCTTTTCTGGTGTAACTGTTGGCCAACATCTTCCCTTTTATTTCTTGCTATTCTGATGCCCAGGGTCCTGGCTTTACTGTCCAACACATTTCTGTACCCTTTTCTCTATTCTACATATGTGAGATAAATTCTTGTTCTTTTAAGTGTCTCTTCATCTCTCAGCTCAATGCAATTTTCATTGTGGAAGAAAGATTATATTTGATATCATTTTTTCAACTTAATGATAATTTGCTCAATTTCCTGTAGCCCAAAGAAGTTAAACATGTTTCCTCACCTTTAACTTTTTAAATTCCAACCTTCTTCCTATTGTATAACTACCACTGAGAAAGAGATTGCATATTCATTTTTGAATAAGGCATGTGTTAATTTCATCTTTACATTGTTTTTGTTTGAGACAGGGTGTTACTATATAATCCTGGCTGGTCTGATACTCATTACATAGCACAGACTGGCTTCAGACTCATGGCATTGCTCTTGCCTTAGTTTCTCGAATGTTAGAATTACAGGTGTGCACCATCATACTCAGCTTACTTAAAAAAGTTTTGCTTTTATTGTTTGACAGTTTCCTGCATTTATATGATGAACTTTATTCATTCCCCGCCATCCCTTCTGTCTTCCACTTCCCTTTCCTATTGAAACCCTTCTTTCTAACATGTTCCCTTCTTATTTTCACATCTTCTTTTTGTGTGTTTAATTAGTGTTTCTTCCCTGAGTGTGACTGGGACTTTATATACTAGAGTAAGAATTTACCAGTGGCTGCGCTACCTCCCTGACGAACCATTATCTCTGAATAGTCAGATGAATCCCTTCTGTCTTCCACTTCCCTTTCCTATTGAAACCCTTCTTTCTAACATGTTCCCTTCTTATTTTCACATCTTCTTTTTGTGTGTTTAATTAGTGTTTCTTCCCTGAGTGTGACTGGGACTTTATATACTAGAGTAAGAATTTACCAGTGGCTGCGCTACCTCCCTGACGAACCATTATCTCTGAATAGTCAGATGATGAGTCTTAGATTCAGGTTATGGGAATTTCTAAAGTATCTCATTAGGAAAAGGTGAAGGCAAGATTTGAATTTCTGTTGTATGATATCCAAATATAAGTCCTTTGTATCTAATTTCATGTGCCCCATAATTCTTTAAAAACACACATTAGTGGGGCTGGAGAGATGGCTCAGCAGTTAAGAACACTGACTGAACTTACAGAGGACCTGGGTTTGATTCCCAGCACCCACATGGCAGCTAAGATTCGTCCTTAACTCCAGGGGAATCCAAAGCCCTCTTCTGACCTCTGTGGCATTGCATGACACACATGTAGGTGATACACTCATACACATAAGATAAAAATAATAAATACGTATTCAAAAAAAAAACATACACATTAGTGTGAATTACATATTTTCTTGTGCTCAACCAGAATGTGAATATATCTACATACACTCCTGAAAATTTCCTAGAGGAAAAAATTATCAAAGGCCTTAAGGAATAAGAATAGAAGGAATAGGTCCATGATTTATTGTTTAAATCTCCTACTGATTCTTCGTTTTCCTTGTTTTATATTGGATATCAGAAATACTTCTATTGCTTCAAATACAGTTGATTGTCCAGTGTTTTTCAATTCTATGTTGTTATGTTTTTCCTCTGTAGCTAGACTCACTCATTCTTATTTTCTTTTTTACATCTTATCATTTTATTTATTATTATTATTTGTGTGTGTATGCATGCGTGTGTGTTGTATGTGTATATGTGTATATGTATGCATGGCAAAGTGTGCATGTGAAGATCAGAGGACAATTTTCAGAAGCTGGTTCTCACCTTTCAGCATGTGGGTCCCAGAGACTGAACTCAGATCATGCAATTTGCAACTTTACTCTCTGAGCCATTTTGCCAACCTGAGACCCACTCATTCTTAATAAATGATCACCAGACACCTTCACTCGTGCTTCCTTTTTCACAAACTGGACCCTACTTATATCTGTTCCTGAACTGACATCAATGGGATAAACAGCATCCTGATCAGTTAAACTCCTTTTCCAATCCCTAAAAATTACAAGTTCTAATCCAGATCTCTTTGGAAAATGGGTTCTCCTCTCCAGTCAACAGTGCTGCCAATCACTCCAGGCCTTTGTCTTCACCCCCTGCTTTTTCTGTCAATGTTCTTCTCACTTGTTTTTCTGTGAACTCTTATCAGTTATTTTTCTGTTTTTTTTTTTTTTTTTTTCTAAAGCTATTAAGCTATCATTTCTTGTCCTAAGCACACGATCATTTCCTTGCCTAGGTAGGGTCTCTATAGATAAAAACATTTATAATGGGTCATAAAACCATTCACAGCTTAGTCTTCCTCAGTCTAATTATCTAAACGTCTATATTCTAGCCATGCCAGACTTCCTGGCGTTTGCTGTCGGCTCTCCTCATCCACTCATACATCTTCATACATGCTATTTTCTCTTCCTGCAACATCCTGAAGTCTCGTTTTCCATTGAAAGGCCTAGAAATTCTAACATGAAACTCAAATTATGCCCTCCAAATTGTTCAATTTTGCATGTGATTTTCCTATTGCAATTATCTTTTATACCTTTTTCGTTCTCTAAAATTGCTCATTTACCTGTTTATCTTCCTATGTATGTCTATATCCATGCTCAGTCTAAAATTTTCTTAGTTGTATCTTTTCCTCTGCTCTCTACTCAAGATTCTTATCACTATAAATGCTGCATATAGATGCCAAAAATTTATTGCAAGCAATAAAGATAAGCATAGAAATTTACTAGTTTGATTCTAAATGTCTGGCAAGGCCTGGTTCTCAGGGAGAACTACCTTAGGAGGTAGTGGACTGACAGTTTGAACCTAGTGGGAGGTCCTTAGATCTTTGGGGTCTTACTCTAGGAAGGGATTGTGGGATCCCACTCTGCTCCTCTTCTCTGTTTGACTCTGGCCATAAGATGTGCAGCTGTGCTCCAACACAGGCTTTGCACCATAATGCAGTGCCTTGCCCCAGGTCTGAAAGCCCCAGGTCTGGAAGTCACCTGGGAGGCTTCAAAATGATGAGATAAACTAGCCTTCTCTGCTTACCAGTTGATTATCTCAGAGGTTGTACTAATGAAAAATCAGCCTAGAGTTCTCCTAAAGGCTGTATTTTTCCTGCCTTTATAGCAAGCACACTTTACAAACTGAAAGTTCACCAGGTATGGAAACCAGAAACACAACTGCCATAGCTTAACCTGTCAGGGCCTTTGATAAAATTTATTTTATGTACAAAATGCTTTTAGTGAATTTTCTGAAATTCACCCTTGGTACCTTCTATTTTTGTTTGTCCCAAATGCCAATACCTATGCTTTTACAGTTACAAAGTATCTGATGTACTTTTTCACTGTCATCGAGTTTCCTAAAGAGAATTACTTGGAAACAAAGAGAGGAAAGTGCTAGTGCGCTGTGGTCACACTGGGAGTTCTCCAGAAAGAGCTGAGCCTGTTGTGTCTTGGAAACCACTAGTGAAGATTAATGTAGGAGTTCTGCAGCAGAAATGCCGCTTCGACTTCTCACCAGCCACAGCTATTCACTTACTTGGCCTCTGAAACTTTTAAGAAATCAAAAGCCTTAAAGACTTGAAAACAATGCTAAATTGTTAAAATAGTGTGGAGCCAATAAAGAAAACACAAACTACACAATGTGGACCATCTGTTTCCTTAGAAAATTGGTCTTATTTTCAAAGTTTAAGGTATATGTGGCTGCTATTCACTTTATTTTTATTATTTCTAATATTAAAATGCAGATATTCAATTAAAAATAATTTCAAGTTTCATAGATATTTGACATCATCATTTTACTCATGTAAGATTTCCCCTTATAATTCTTTGGACGATGTCCGTCACAGCTGTATTTAAATTGTTCTGAGACTATGAAATTTTATTATTATCTTCAAGTCCATTATCTTTTTGACAGTCTTTGATTTTTTTACACATTAAGCCAAAATAGTCCCTTCTGATACTTCTACATGTCTTTTGTCATATACGACATACAAATTCAATACACACATATAAGTGTATAATATGAATATATACAAACTCATATTTAAACAACTTAAAGTTGTTGTAGTTTATGGTCACAGATCTTAAAACTTTGAAATTAAATTGTCCTTCCTCTCATCAGTCATCTTTTCAGGGGTTTACACACCTTTCATCTCACAGCAGCATGAATGATAAAGATCATATCATGAAACTCTTTCTTGCCATAGCATGGCATTACTAATTTACCACGCAGCAGGGCAAACGTTTTGCTTTTATTTAGAGTACTAATGAAGCACTTATCCTAACCATCTACAATGTCTGTTATTCAAACACCTTCAAAGCGTGGCATAAGTTCATGAGATTTTTCAGGAAGCACTTGATGCTTTCTCTCTGTGGAACAGGGGAAAATTAGCTGGCTCAGAGTATCTTAAGGTTGTTCCCACCACCACCCCCATTCACTTTCCTAGTTTGTTCTAATGGGGTATCTAAGTCATTATCACCACATGTGCTGATTTAGGAAGAAAAGAATAATGAGGATGACACCCAGAGACTCCTGCCTGCTGAGGAATCAAACATTAATATATAAACATCAGATAATGCTTAAAATTGTATTTCACTATACCATGACAAGGAAGGAAAGGTTCATTATAACTAACACACAGGAAGAGAAAACCATCCAAACACTATCAAGTTTGTTTTGCTTCTTTTCATTATTGTTTCAATTAAGACCATTCTGTTTCTGAACTGAAATTTCTCTCATGATACTCAAATTTCTGATTTTGTTATTGTTTGTCTTTTAATGATTTTATAGTAACCCTTGAAATAATTTCAGTATTGTTAAAAAAAATAAATGATTGGTTTTAACTGTAATTAATTCCTGTTGTTAGGTGTCTAGCAGACTCTTAAAATGGTGGCACAGCTCCCAATATTCTAAAATGGTATGTGTAAACTTAGCCCTGGAAAGTCCCTCGTTTATTGGGAGACCAACCAATCCCAACCTAAACTGCCCAGCCTACACCATGGAAAGTCACCCAAGCACCTAACTGCCTATAAAAGATGTCTGACTTCCCCTGCTGCTTGCTGTTTCTCTGCTCCTCAAGAGGCAGCCCAGTGTTCTGCTCGCTATCATAGAGTTGTCCTGGTGAGTAGTCTTTGTTGTGCACTCCCATACAACTGTCAAAATGCATTTTGTCAACAACAAAAGTAAGAATCCTTGCCTCTGGGATGTGATGAGATGTTTCTGTAGGCTAACCCAATATAATGTCCATATGCTTTTGACAGGCAAGAGTCTAGTGAATATGTTTCTCTCTCTTTCTGTGTGTGTGTGTGTGTGTGTGTGTGTGTGTGTGTATGTATGTATGTATGTATATGTGGTGTTTATATTACATTTTAAATATAAATTTAAACATATTTATTTATTTTTATTTTATGTGTATGAGTGTGTTGTCTCTATGTATGTAAGCGCACTGTCATGCATTATCCGTGGAGGGCAGAAGGGGTGTGTGTGTCAGATCCCCTGGAACAGGAATTATGGATGGTTGTTAACTGTCATGTGGGTGCTGGGATTCGAACCTGGGTCTTCTTCAAAAGCAGCCAGTGATATTAACTGCTGAGCCATCTCTCCAGTCCCTTATATAAAAATTTAAATAAATATATTGAGGTATAGTGTATATATTTTTCCGTGTCTGAAATAAACCTGTATATCAAGTTCAAAACAAAATTATGAAACTTCACAGTTCTAAAAAGATTACTATTGCCCTTTTCAGCTAATGCACCCAGCCCTTGGCAACAGTGGATCTGCTTTTTGACACTTACTGGGTCACCTGTCCCTGGTGTCCTCTGGAGTTTTGTTCCAGTCTCCTCACTCTCTCCCCCTGTGGTGGTTTGAATGAGAATGTTCCTCAGAGGCTCCATGTTTCTGGACATTTTGTCCCCAGTTGGTGATGCCATTTTCAGACGTCTTAGGAGGGGTGGCCTGCTGAAGGAAGTGTGTCACTGGGGACAGACTTTGAGAGATCTTGAGGTTTTCCAGATTTCTAGATGATCTCTACTTCTTGTGCCTGCTTGAAGATATGAGTGCTCCTTGTTTTACTCTGGCCACCTCTTGCCACCATGCCTCCCTGCCATGACGGATTCTGATTCTTCTGGAACTGTAAGCCTAAATAAATCTTCCTTTTTTAAGTTCCCTTGGTCACAGTGTTTCATCACATCATCAGAAAAGTAACTAGTATACCCCCTAATACTCAAATTTGCCAATGTCCAAGTCCATATATAAAATGGTGAAACACACACACACACACACACACACACACACACACACACATATATAACCCCCACATATCATCTTTCCTTTGAATCAACTCTACATTATTTATAATACCTATCAAAATGCAAGTGCTGCTTAAATAGTTATTATATCATATTGTTTAGGGAGTGACAAAAAGTCTACATAAGTTCCATTCAAACACATTTACCACAGGACCAATTATATAGTATGTGGATGATTCCAAATGAGTATGGAGATGTGAGTGAGGATCTGTGGGACCAAGGAGGAGAAGGTTACTTGAAGGTATGTGTGCATATGACCTCAGTCACATGGATTCTGCATAGAGCTGAGCATGTGGCAAATTCAAATTTTGCTTTTCTGGAATGTTTTGGGATTTGTTGAGAACTTTCTGTCAAGGACTGATTCAAATTAGGTAGAACATTCAAGTACAGAATCACAATGATAGCTTTTGCCTACTTATTAGTTCCTGTAGATGGAATCAAACAGTATACGTGACATATTTTTTTCAAGCATAGTGGCATAATTTTTAATATACATCAACATTATTCCATGTATCATCAATGTGTCCCCTTTTCATTACTAAGTTGTAGACCTTTGTATGAATTTGTTTATTTTCACACATTGATGGATAGTTGGGTTGTCTCCAGTTTGGAACTATTATAAACAAAGCTGCTATAAACATCTGTGAATGAATATTTTTATATGCATAAGTTTTCATGTTGTAGACAAATGCCTACTAATGTCATTGGTAGGTCATACTAATTTTGCTTTATAGGAAGCCACTAAGCTTTGTTCACAAGACAGTTGTAAAATTTGACATTCTGATTCATGTCTCCTCAATTCTGAAAGCTTCTGTGGTGTGTCTGAGACTCCTTTCCTTGCACTGTAGCTCTAAGCGTGCCTCTAGGAAGACAGCAAATACAATGGTGAAATTTACATCTCCCCTGTACTCAGGTACCATCGCTTATGGATTCAGTTGTTGGCAACAACACTTTAACTCTCTTCTCAGTGTTGTGCTTTTGGGTTTTTTAAAGGCAGAAAGGCAAATCTAGTACTGGTTATATTGTAATCACTATAAAACCAATGCATTTCAGTACAAACATTGCAAATACTTAACATTTCTGATCGTACATCATTTTATTACTGAAGAAAAACCCCACCTAACAATGTATGGGTCCAGTTTTTTAGCATCTCTATACAGATACGATGGACGCATAGGGTTAAACAAGTGCCCAAATCATTTCAAGAATTTTCAAATCTTGTATATACTTTCTAAAATCAGTGCTATAGAACCTCACAAAGCTCCTGAACTTGGCTCTATCTAAGAAATGGAAATTTTGTAAACTTCACAAGGTGAATGGCCTAAATTTCTTAGCAAAAACTTTTGTTATAATTAACAGGATAAATACAATTTGTAAACAGAATTGTTGTATAAAGACAATGATGCCAAAGTACAAATTCAAGAAGAAATAATCATAAAATGCCTGATCAAATGTGAATTTGTTTATGTTCATTTTTGAAATGTATGTTAATTATTAAATTACATTATTTGAAGTTAAACCTGTCATCAAATTATAGATGCAAATTTAAGATATAACTGAAGAACAAAGGAAAGGGCTGCTGAGAGGTGCAAGAAGACACTGCCTGCTTTTTAATCACTCAACTTGTGTTTCTCTTACAGTTGGAAATGGCAGACTGATACAGGGCTCTGTGGCTGGTGTCTGGATATTTATGGACACATTCAAGAGCCTGGCATGCACTGATAGAATTCACAGCATATTTCTAATGGCAATTATCTCTCAGGTCCTCGTTATGTTTTATGGTTGTATATGATCCTCTTGGTATTTAAGAAGCAAAAATAATTATGAGAGAAACAGGGAGGTCATCTGTCTCAGGCTTACATGGGAGAAAAGACAGCTTCTTTTATTTGATTTTTCCAAGAAAAATACTAGAGTCAATATGCTTGGACTATATATTTCAGACTTTGCTGTGTTTCCAGACACCACCACATACCAAAAGCAGATGGCCTATATATAAAATAGAAGCTTGTTTTTGTTGTTAAAATTATGTGTGTGCGGCCAGAGATCATATTTTAATGCAACTGGTCCAGGGAAATTGCCTTACATTCCTAAATATCAAAGGTGGTGATGTCATGACTGATCCAATTATTTGACAATGGAAGAAAACGTTGTGGAGTGAGAGTATCTGAGGCAGCAAAATTCTCTCCAACAGTCACAATTGAAATCTGACCCAAATATCTTACCTTAAATAAAGGGAAAATCAGCAGCAGTAATAAAACTAGGACTCAGTGTCTGGAGATTTTTTTTAACATTTTTGTGAAGGACTCAGAACAACAATAATAGGAGTAACCAGATACCTTTTGTGTGCTTTCATGTACCTGAACTGAAGCAGTTTTATTGATAGTGCCAATGCTTTTTGATTATAGCCTGGGACTCCTCAAAGTCCTGTTCAAATGCTAAATTGACAGCAAATTAGAGTTGGCTGAATGTAGATGTTTTCTCATTGTAGGTCTCTAAGGAATGCATCACCAGTTATTTATACCATCAAATCCTGCCTGACTAGAATTTCCTTCTTTAGAAATCTCAAGCTATAGCATTTATTATAATTGCTACATAGCTTTCCCCAATGCAAAATAATGTATGCTCTTTTTTTTTTGTATCTGACAAAGCACAAATAACTATTATTTAATGACATAAAAGATGCTGAGCTTGAAGTGCTTCTAGTGTATTTCTCTAGTGGTTGGTAAGAAACAGAAGGGATAACTACTCCTATTTACCCAAGTGTAGGATAACAAGGATTTTAATTAGTGAGAGTATTGTATCCCAGATTTCACTATAGTAAATTGATATCATATAATTTATAGAATCAAATGAAAAGTAAGCATGTATATTAAAACAGAATAGGGTTGTGCAGAGAACGGACTTAGTGTCTTACTCAACTTGGCAGCAAATCTATTAATTCTGTGACTTCAGCTCATGAGAATGCATAGTAATGGGGCAGAACTTGAAGACATTAAGTCTGGCACTATTTGTGGAGCTAATATTTTCCCATATAATCCTAAATAATACAATTTACTTACCCCAATTAAGTTTTGGAATTTTCATCTAAAGTTGAAAGATCATTTTACAATTTACAAATTTCTCCTAAATTAACGTATTTCACTTTTTAAGAGCCATTTCAATGTTAAAAATCTCTAATTCACTGATAAATGCACAAATGTTTCCTCATGCAAATATATTCCAGACAAACAAATAAATTCTGCCTGGGCCTGAATGATATGTTTTATGTGTGCTCATTTGATTTTCTCAAAGCCATTGTACATATGCCCATAAAATATGTGTCCGCATAATATGTAAACAGTTGTGCAAACAAGAAACTAAAATAATAATGCTTTTAAACCAAACTATTCCAATTAATTTTTTATATTTTTGTCTTTTTGAGACAGGGTCTCCCTGTAGCCCCAGCTGTCCTGGAACTCACTATGTAGACCAGGCTTACTTTGAACACACAGAGATCCACCTGCCTCTGCCTCCCGAGTGCTGGGGTGAAAGGCGTGTGCCACCATGCCGGCTTCCAATTAAATTAAATAAAAAATAATGTAATCTTTTGTAAGGTAAAAGAAATATGATGTATTGCTTTACACATAGAATAATAGAAAATCACATCTGGAAGAGTCTTCAAAGTATTTCCATCCAGTCTTTGCAAAAATATTTGAATCTCCACATACTGCATGGTTCATGAGTTCAGATATGAACAACTTGTATGATGGGAAATCAATCATCTTGTGAAGGGATGCCCTTCCTCTGTTTCAGTCACACTTTTCTTAATATCCTTTAGTATATTTGCATCTCTCTTAAATTACTTCATCCAGAATTCAAGAAAATATGTAGGAATAGATGTATACAATAAAATCCATTTTTTTCCAAATATACTAAGTTCTCTTTTAAGATGGCATAATACTTGTATGGGCTGACTTTTTCAACTCTAAGTACCAATCATTTGATCTTCATCTGGACTCATGGCTCTTGATGCAAAGATAGAGTTACCCTCTTAGATGCACTCCCATTTGCTTTGGCTTGTTGCTTTAATATGTTAGAGATGTTGAATATCTCAACTTTATCATTGAATATTAATTAATATTAGGTTTGTTAAGTATCTCCTAGTCATACACTTGAGTACAAATAATTATTGTGATGTTAGGGTACCAAAGGTAGAAAAAGTTGGTAAGGGTAGTTTAAAATCAGTCAAGTCTCAAAATTCTCAGGTAAAATGCATGAAAATAGTTATTTTAACTCTATTCTATGGCATTTGCAAGACACTCACCTTGTAATTTTTATCAACAACCACACAACTACTTCAGTGCAGAGAACTGAATGCTGTGTCCCTGAAACTGATATGTTAAAATCCTAACCTCTATTTTGAAGGCATTAGGATAGAGCCCATCACAGGTGACTGAATCATGAAAGTAAAGCCTTCATGAATGGAATTAACACTCTTATAACCAAGAACCCACCCAGAGAGTTCTTTAGCCCTAGTAAAGACATAAGATGTTAACTTGAAACCCAGGCAGAGGCCTTCATCAGAACCCAACCAGCACAGCACCCTGATTTCTGACTTCTACCTTATAGACACATGAGAAACAAATTGGTGTTGTTTATAAGGTGCTCAGTCTAAGGTATTTGTTATAACAACCTGAACTAAGGGGTCCCATAGACTCTCAAACAATACTGGTCATTATCCCTGATCTTGACTACCCACCAGAACTTAATGGTAAGACACTAATGCTGAAGATACTGTATATATTGAACTGTAGAACAAACAAGGAGAAATCAAGCTGGGACCGA